AGGAGCCATTTCTGCTCAGGATTCTCTAAAGATGAGCTTTCAGACACGTCCGGCCTGCTCTTCCTGGGACATGTTAATCCTTAGCTTTTCCCCCTTGTCCTGCTAGATTTTCACTAATTAGGCACTGACCTCACTTGTCAAATGAAGGTGACACTTCCAAGATCCTGTGTTGTGGCCATTAGATGAGAAAGTGTCACATGGACTATGTCCCATAGTAACTGCTGGGCCATAATAGGTGAATACCTGGCTCCCCCTGGGGAGCCGTGATGGTTGTAGTGTTCGGTTATAACTCCCCACTCTGCCCTCCTGGCCAGCTTTCCTCCGTTACTGCATCCCCATGACCCCAGCCAGGACTCAGCCCCAGTGACTCTGACACTGTGCCCGCTCCTTACCCACCACAGTGGCCTGAGCTGGAGAGCTGGTTCTAGGCCACCTCCTGAGCAGGATTTTCTGCCTTCTCTGATATTTTCCAATTCTTCCACTGTAGGATTGCTGCCTGGTCTCCAGGACTGCATCTCTAACCTGCCATGCCTTCTGTCTCTACCCGTCTCATCCTGCTACATTTTTCCGATCACTAACTCATCAGAATGGTGATTGGAATGCTAGTTTAATTGCCCACAAGTCCATTCATACTTTGATTCAGTATTTTTGACACATGTAGTACACATATCTGATGTGGAAATATTGGGGTTCAGAGCTCAAGAAAGAATTCTCGAGAACTTTTCAGTGCAAAAAGGTGTTTTTACGATAGCACAGGGACAGGACCAGTGGGCAGAAAGAGTGGCACTGGGTTTGGGAGGAGCCATTGATTATATACTTTAGAATTGGGGGAGATACAGGCAAAGGGAAGTTTCCAAAAGGACTTTAATATGCTAAAGGACGTTAATATCATGGGATCCTGGAGGCCTGGCTTTTGTCAAGCTAAGACTGTTTTTCCCTTTAGTAGGTCTTTAAGATTAAGACAGTTGGGGTTCCTGTAATGTCTTATTCTACCTGCCTCAAATGTTTATCAATGGACTTCAGGTTATAAGGAAATTTAACTTGATGTACATTTCCTTTTGCCTTTGTTCTCCACATCATGGGTTTAGTTACAAGGCAGTGTACTAAAAATTGCACACATAATTATATTCAAAATGCAGGCTGGAAAAATGCACCTAATAATCTTTCAAACCAGAAGTTGCTTCTCATGGAGCTTGCTTCCATTAAAAGGACATGTTCTTGTTCCAAACTAAGGGATTTGTTTGCTGTTGCTTACCGTCACGGTTGGGGTGTAATGAGGACAAACCATGCTGCCTTAGGTCTCTGCTGGTGACAACTAGGCTGTGTGTGGCTTTGGTTAGTGGTGGTTCCAGGGTTCCTGAAAATAGTTATTGTCTTTATGCCCTAGACTCCATTGCTTCCCTCCAGCCTGAGCAGCTGGCATGAACTCTCCAGCGCTCACATTCCCTAGCCTTTCTGCCGCTGCTCCTGGCTCAGAGACCACCATTTTCAAGAGGACAAATGGTAAATATGGAAATGGAAGGAGTCAGGTATTGATGATGGAAAATTACCAATACAAGTAGCCTTTAGTTACTAATGGGCACATTACCTGATTGTAGAGATTTTTCTCCTTGGGTCCCAAAGTCCTTAGTCCTACTCATTGCACCTTCTGTGGCCACCTGTTTTGCCATTATTCTTCCTCCTGTGGTTTTCCTATTGCTCCGTTGTGCTTCACTGCGCAGTGATCTCTCCGTCCTTGAAAGTGCTGTGTCCAGCTTAATTTCTTTGTCTGTGTCTTCTTTTTTTAAATGGGTTTATTTTTTATTTATTTATTTTTATTTTTATTTTATTTTATTATTTTATTTTTTCAGTGTTCCAAGATTCATTGTTTATGCACCACACCCAGTGCTCCATGCAATACATGCCTTCCTTAATGTCTACCACCAGGCCCTCCCAACCCCTCCCCTCCCTCCCTTCCAGAACCCTTAGTTTGTCTGTCTTCTTAACTGGAAATTTAAAATTTTTTATTAAAATAATATTTGTCCTGGATATTTCATTTGTCAATAAGGATAAAATTTTGCCTCCTGGCAATTTGATCATTATGAGATGATGTAAAAAAGATCATAAAACCATAGAGCCCAGAAATCTATGGACTTCACACCTCACTGTACTTTTTCCAGAGTGCCTTTCCTATTCCTGGCCTCTTTCACTCCTTGATGTCTATTTTAGAATGAGGTGGACTGAGGATATGCTTATCACTGTGGATTCTATGTTGTTGGGGTCTTGTTTTTCAGAGCTGGATTTGGATGCTTCTCCAGTGATGAAGAAACCTCTCAAGCTGGAGGGTGAAGCTACTGATGGCTCCTTTGCCAATAAGCATGGCTGCCATGTCATTGGCCACATTGACGACTACAGTGCCCTAAGACAGCAGATAGGGGAGGGCAAATTGCTGGTCAAAAAGATAGCAGCTCTTGTGAGATTAGCCTGCCTTGAAACTCAGGGCACAGAGGTAATCACACTGTGGTCACATGTAGGTCTTAAGTGCTCCTTTTCCTTGTGCCCTTTCTCCTTCTGATCTTAGCTCCTTCTCCCACTGCATATCCCCCATAGCTGAGTCTACATCTTCTGCTTACACCCAGCTGGGCCTTTCTTCTCCATCTCCTGTTTTCACTATACACTCTGCCCTGACTGACGTTTCCTCTCAGAAACACAGAAGAGCCAGAGGAGAATTGTCATCCTCATCTGTAGGGGATTTGCTGAGTATTGGTTTACGTGTTGTGCTCTACTGAGTACCCTTTGCTCACTTATTATCTGATCCAGTCACCCTGGCACATGGTCATCCATTGGCAGAGTAAAATCACTTAATCAGGTGGCTGGAAATTCAGGATTTGCATCCGCACAGGCCCCATGTTGTGGAAGGGGTGAACCCTGGCAGCCATAGGATTTCTCTGGGCAGACTGAGCAGGGCAGGGAAGCGGGCAGCGCACCTTCTCAGAGCGCTTCCCTGTTCAGAGACCAGGTACCAGCTGCTGTGCTGTTTGAGGCACTGGAGATGCATGGATGTGCAGGGACAGCCCTGTCTGCAAGAGCCTCCACCCCAGAGAGAAGACCACATATCCAAGTAAATAAGGACAACAGAGGATCTGGGCTCAGTGTCGGAAGCCATCCTCTGAGTTGGGACGGTGCAAACACAGAAGGGGTCCTTGGGCCAGGCAAGGAAAGTCACAGGGTTCTAGAGGAACCACTGGCAAGATACACAGCTTCTCTGGGTGGTGGAGGATAGCATTCCAGGTAAAGGGAATGGCATCGCAGTCCTTGGAGCTACAAATGGTTCAGCCCAGTTGAAGCAGAGGTATGATTTAGAGATACGCATGGGGGTGCCAAAGCAAAAATCAGGGACCTTAGACCCGAGAGCACGGAGCAGGACTAGCAGCTTACAGAGAGTATGAGAGAAGTCAGAATCTAGTGATTCTTACAAGTTGGAGGTCACTGCTGAAGTGGAGATCCAGGGCTTCCAGGTTTCAAAACGGTTTCACAGGTTCAAGCAGGTCCATGCCTGTGCCTCACACATGAGGGAAACCTGAGCCCTGTGCTGGGGGAGCCTGAGCAGGGGGAAGAGAATGATCTCTCAGTCTGGTGCCCAGGGCTATCTCCCCCTTCTCCCAGGTGCCGGGCAGCAAAGGCATCCATGAACTTGGGAGCAGCGCCCAGGCCCTGCAGCACACGCTGGACGAGTCGGCCTCCCTCCTCACCATGTTCTGGCGAGCGGCCCTGCCCAGCTCCCCCAGCCCTGTCCTGTCTGACAGCACAGTGAGTGGCAGCCTCCTTCATCACTTCTGCCCCAAATGCCATTCTGCCTCCTCAGTTCCCAAGTCCTAAAGGTCAGGAGCTGGGCAGTTGAGTTGGGACAGGGGGGCTTTAGGAGAGCATCCCGGGGGGGATACCTGTTGTCCATGGTAGTGGCTGGCAGGGCTCCTCCCACCACCAGCAAAGAGGGAAGGACAGAATACGAAGAGGGCAGACATGTGAGAACCCCAGCAACCAGGAGTGTTTGGGTTCTTTCACTTTCTGAACTTAGCTGAGCCGAAAAATGTAGGGACCTGTGAAAATGTCGACATCCCCTTTCCCCACGCCATCCCCACAGAATGTCACCAAGAGATGAGCACCTTCCTGGAGCCACCCACTGCATCCCACACACAGCTTTCCTCATCCCTGGGCCAGGCCCAGAAGAGTCAGCCGCCCCACCACCAGGTGCTCTCAGATATAAGGCCTGGACTCTGGTCAGGGGGAGTGTGACCAACAAATTTTCTCCATCTCCCCCCACCAGCCCTTCCTAGGAGCCTGAGGCCAGATTAAAGCACTAACACCTTATGGGCCCCAACTATGCCGGGTCTGAGGCAGAGGGTGTTCTGCCATCTTTAATTTGCTCCGAAGATTTACAGAATTGCACACTGTCTCCCCGGGCAAAACACGCCCAGCTAGCAAGTCTTATCTGTGAGGCCCGGGTACTAGAACCAATGTCAGCGCTGAATGTGTGCTCTTGGTCCACTGCTGGGAGTCCTGGCACTACCCGGGGATCAGGGCCTCTACAGCCACAGGAATGGAGGCCCGTGTCCATGTGCATGGGGGCTCCCAGGGTCTCAGTGTACTGACCTAATGGCCTTGGTCTAAGCTGGCCTCAGCTGGAGCCTTCTAGTGTCTCTCCTGGAGGGACTCCAGTCCAGAAATCATTGTGAGAGGATTATAGAATCCTGCTTTATATTTTCAAGAGCCACAAAGCGTGGGGAGCTTGAAGTCTTCTGACCTTTGACAGAGAGCCTGTTTCCCTTCCCCAGGGACAGTCCCTGCAAAGGGAACTTCTAGAACTGAGAACCAGACTGTCCAGACAGGAGAGCATCCTTCAGAGCACAGCGGAGCGTCTGACGACCGCCAACCAGCAGAAGGAAAGCATGGAGCAGTTCATCTTCAGTCAGTCCTGAGCCAGGGGATGAGAGAGGAAAGTAGGGGTGGGAAGACTTCCAGACTCCCCACTTGTGCTGCCGATGGACCCTGACCAGACAGACTGGGTGGGGTGGGGAGGAGTGCTGCAGACCAGTGTGATGTCCCCAAACCTCCTGTGCCATGAATAATTGGGGATGCAGAGGGAGGGATGCATGGGGCAGCAGGAGACCCTGATCTGAGCTGCCAGAAAGACCCCCTTTGGAACACAGTAGACAAGTATGGCCCCAGATGGTCACTTCTACCTATTGGGCTGTTTTGTTGTTTTAGTGACCAGGACACATGATATTTTGAAGAAGGAAAGGACTAATTTGGAGGTAAGGACACCACTGCACCTGCCAGAGCCACAGAACCCAGCCCAAATCCATCCCCACCTGTCTCCAGAGTCTGCAGATGATCCCCGACCCACTCTGATCTTTCAGGAGATTTCCAGTTCATTCCTAGGATTCAGTTCCTCAATAAATGTTCTTCTAGCTTCACTCCCCATCACCTCTCCCACCCAAGTCCCTCCCGTGCCATCTCATCTCCCTGTGACATCGTGACCCTCTTCTCTCCTCACCGCACTTCTTCCCTCCTTTAGGCCAAGTCAGGAGTCCGAGGAAAGCAAGTGAGTTGATTCCCA